GTGTGTGTGTGTGTGTGTGTGTGTGTGTGTGTGTGTGTACTTTTTTTCTGCTACAGAGTGAGGAATCCCGGTTCTCACTGTTTTTGCAGTTCTACTTTGCTTTACTAGTTAGGTTTAGAGGTATGGTTTGAATTAAGTTCTGGTTCAGGTTAGGATTAGGAATTACACTCGTAATGGTTAGTTTTAGGGGGAAATGTCTGAGTTAAGCATAAATCCAATTACAAAAAGTGAATGAAAGTCAATTTCGATTGCCCCGGGTAGGGTCTCCTATGCCAGAATGGTCTTAGGTGACAGGCCAGATAAAGAATGATTCAACTGACGCATGGACACGAACTACGGTTTTGCAGACTCTGTACTGGTCTGTTGTGGTGAAGAGGTGTCACACTGGTGCAAGGAATGAGTCCAAGTCCAGGCGGAGGATAAGAATTATAATAAAAATATGTATTTAACAAAATAAAGAGCTGGCAGGGCAGCAAAAAATAAATCTAAAACGTGAAGGGGCCACAGGGACCACAGAGACAACAAGACAGATGGACAGGCCATGCAAAGATCCAGTGATAAGTGAAGAAGAGAGAAGTATTTATCCACACAGGGAAAGAGAGAAAATGGACAACAGCTGAGAGAAATTACTGACTGGTGCAAGATGACTGAGGAGGGAATGACAAACAGCTGAGGAGAAAGAGGCAWAATGACGACGAGGGAACACAAGAGGGAGGTAGAACACAGGACAACAAAACACACATCCTCACAAGAGGGAGCTGAGCTATAAGGCAAAGCTCCCTGTTTACTGACCAGGCTACGGTCCTTCTCTCACCTATAGTCACGAACTTTGGGTAGTGACCGAAAGAACAAGATCACAGACACAAGTGGTCGAAATGTGTTTTCTCCACAGGGTGTCTGGACGCTCCCTTCAAGATAGGGTGAGAAGTTCAGTTATCTGGTAGAGACTCGAGTAGAGCTGCTGCTCCTCCGCATCGAGAGGAACCAGTTAAGGTGGTTCTGGTATCCGGTAAAGCTGCCTCCTGGACGTCAACTGGGAGGAGACCCAGAGGAAGACCCAGGACACGGTGGAGAGACTATGTCGCTCAGCTGGTCTGGGAATGCCTTGGAGTCCTCCAAGAAGACCTGGAATAGGTGGCTGAGGAAAGTGAAGTCTGGGTTTCCCTGCTCAAGCTGCTGCCCCCCCCGACCAGACTGTGGGACAAGCAGCAGGCAAGATGGATGGATGGGTGGTTAATTGAAAGGAAACACAAATCCACCAGACTCTGTATAAAATGGAAGATGATGGATGGATGGATGGATGGATAATAAATTGAGATAATGAAGAAAGCACTAAACATGGAATTTATAATGTAAATGGATAGGGTCTGCTTTTATTTTAACATTTTAAATTAACACATTTTCAGCTGCACCCTTTCCAACAGCAGCATAATCTTATAGAAAACTTCAAAATGTAAGTTAAAAAAWGAAAACTATAGTTTATTCATATGAGATAAATTAATTGTGTAAACTCAAAGCTGGGCTCAAACAGCTAAACAGCCAAAGGACTCCAGTAAAGTCAGCTGCAGGTTTCCTTGACCCTGTGTGTCTGAGTTGGGTCTGATCACCTGCTGTGAGCAAATGAACTGATGCTGTCAGATTGTATTTGATTCATTATTTATGTAATATGTATTGGAKTGAGCTCAGCTAGTTGTTGACCACAGCTGAATAATTTACTTCTATATTAAAATAAAATCCTTAATCTTTTATTTATAAACATAAAACGTATAGTATTAAACATCTTTTTTTTCATCATGAACATTGTATATCATAGCCTCATAGCATATATGAGTATATGCCATATAAGTTTTTTTTGACCAAATATGTCTTGGGCAGTTCTGTTATGAGGCTAACGATAAGTCCAGTTTGTTTTCTTTTAAACCAAATTCCACTCAACTAAGCTGACAGTGAATGTAGAATATTCTGATTGAGCAATGACTGATGATCTCTCTTCCACAACTTTTCCTTTTCCTCTATGTGCAATTTTACAACACTTTGCACCTGACTTTAGTCTTCCTGCCTCTGGAAATAAGCAATTTGTTCTTTGTTCTTTAGTTTTGATTGATTAGATGTCAGAATACAATCCTCTCAAAAGTTCCTCCAACACATCAGTGCTATGGTTGAAAGTAACTTTGATATTTAAAAATCAAACAGCTCAAAGGAGCTGAAAAAACTTTCATGGATATTGAAGGTTACGCAACAAAGATACAGATATATCTGCGCTGGGGAAAAAAAGTTTAAATTATACAAAATTGATTTTTACTGGACATAACCCCAAACAACTGAACCATAGCAAATGTACCATTTCAAAAAGGACAATGTAAAAAAATAAATAAATAAATACATAAAAAATATTAAGATTAAAGAATGGAACCCTTTTAAAGTCAAAGTGTAAGTCACATTGCATTATATGATTCAAAGCTTAACAGTCTTCTAATTTAATTTCGAAAAATGCTGACATATTGAAAATGCAAACAGAATGACTGGAGGGCTTTAGAAAACAATCTCCTGAAATCAAAAAGATTTTTTAAACTGCATTTTATATTGTAAGGTGTCCTTGAGTGCCATGAAAGGCACATTCAAATAGAATGTACAATAATAATATTTAGGTTAGGTTAATAATTAATAATCATTTTATTTTATTTTATTTTATTTTATTTCATTTTATTTTATTTTGTCCCACTGTCCAGACTGGTCCACAGAGGTGCTCGGGCCTTTTCAGTTGTGGCTCCTAAACTGTGGAACCAGCTGCCACTTCACACTCTAAAAAAGGAAATGTTGGATTTACTTAACCATGTTACAGTATGTTACCTGGTTCCACTTAACTGAGTTGAATAAATTCAAAGCAACATACTCATGTTCTTTGGCTAAAAAACTTGTATATTGCTTTGAATTTACTCAACCCAGTTAAGTGGAACCAGGTAACATAACATGATTAAGTAAATCCAACATTTCATTTTTTTACAGTGCATATTAGACAGGCATCAACTCTTGGTGTTTTTAAGTTTCACCTTAAAACACACCTGTTTTCCAGAGCTTTTAATTCAGCACGAGAGTTGGCTATTTTCCACTTTTAAAGGTTTGTTCTATGTTTATATTTTTTTATTGTTCTTAACTTTGTATTCTGTTTTTTGTTTTTCTTTTAGTTGTAACATGTGAAGCACTTTGGCTAATGGCAGTTGTTTTTAAATGTGCTATATAAATAAATGTTGACTTGACTTAATTAGGTGCCAACATAAACAAATTTCTTTGTTAGACTTCACTCAAGTCAGACCTTCCTCACATCTGTGAAAAGGTTATGAACATATTTTTTTATTTCATTTATTGGACAATTGAAATTAACTGGTCTGTGGAGATGTCCTCATTTGGTGCCATTGAATACATTTTCATCAGAAACTGTGGCTTTGATGTTAATTATACTTTGATGAGAATGGGTAATTCATGTTTTATTGAGTTTCTTTAACTTTTAGCATCATTCGTTGGTTTAGRTTTTTAACATGTAAGAACAGAAATAAACTCTTGGGGATTGTCAGGATATGCAGCAGAATTGCTGGCATAGCCCTACTGAACCTCACTGACCTACACAAGGTCAGGTCAGTAAAAAAGGCCAGACTGGTTCAGGCTGACCCTGATCACCCACTCCATGGTGAGTTCAGGCTGTTTTTGTCCTGACACAGGTGTCTTTGTTCTGCAGATGTAAAACTAATAGACAAAATATTACATACCCCTGCAGTATTCAGACTTCTTGGTGAATTTTTGTACTGTTATTTTAGTGTTTTTATGTCTTTTGTATGAATGATTTTTTTATGTCTACTAACTCCACAACCAAATACCCCTTGGGGTTACATTTCTTTAACTTGGCACAAACAGTTTAGGTCAGAATACCCTTCAATCAATACAGCATTCCAGATATGAAAAGGCTGGTGCCCATATCTGTGTCTTACTGATACCTGTAGTTCAAATAAGCACTCTGTGACAAGCCGAAGGTGGACAATTCTTACTATATGGCTGACTCACCCCTGGTATATTCTGCTTGGCATTTCTTTTGTAATAAATTGATAAAAATCAACAAGCTTGGCCTTCGTGTCTCCCTTTTCTTTTTTTGCCATGACAATTTGGTGGCAGTGGATGTGTCTGCCCTCAGATAGTCACAAAATGCTCAGTTGAACAAAGCACAGCACTAAGAAACACACACAAGGCCATCGACCTCATAATAACTGGGAGGCAGACTCACTTGATGACCTAACATTAAACAGTTAACAGACACAAACGAGTGAAAATTCAAGCTCTTCATTTTTTCTGAAAAATATATATATTTTCAAATGATCTGAACTGCCACTTCATAAATAAGTTCAATAATTACTATCAAGAATGCAAACTGACATTAGCAGTGCACTCTTCTTTTGAGCTGCTTATTGAGCATGYCAGTTGGCAGGAAAAGTCACAACGACAAATCCTCAAAAGAAAATCTATTCAAAGTCTGCAGAGCTTGGGTTGTACATCAGGCTGCTGTCTGAAAAACAGCCACTGTGATTGTTTGCATTTAAACACCAGTGTCACAATTTCATGGGAAAAGTTGTTTGTTAATGGTGAAATATCATTGCGTGAATATTTTTTTCTGCATTCTTTTTATAGGTCCCTTTGGAGCTAGTTAATAAAGATGCTGTTTCCTCGGTTGGGTGAAAATTGCTTTCTAGGATTTTAATTCAGATGGGTTCACTCTTTGCATTAGTGCACACTAAGTAGCTTTTCTAGGCTTTAAAATATACTTATAAATATAGTAATTTGGTGTAAGTAGATACACCAAAGATTTGTTTTATAAAACAATGTACTGCATATTCTAAAAAAAGAGCTACTGTGAAATTACCAATGCTTAAAGACATTTTTAATGTCAATATATTAGTCTGTTTAGATTAAAACACCTAACATCACTTGCACATGGATCATATTTGATTATGTGGTCCAAGTATCTGACTTTCTGCATCAGACCCAATTGTTCATCAGGCTGTTTATTTTAGATTTATGAAATATGCCTTGAAAAATAGTTTGAAGATTCAGCATCTTACATTTTTTAGAGTTTTATTCTTACTCACTCTATATGCTTAAGTGTAAAGGTTTAAGTGTTATTGATCTTACACCCAAAGTCATGACAGGAGACTTTACAGATTTTTCATAAGCATCACAACAGGATGTGTTTAGATTCAGAGCCATCAATCTGCTCTATCACCTGTCTCCTGTTCCAAGATTGAAACACAAATTGCATATCAATCACAGAGTCTGGCAGCAGTAAACCAGATTCCTAAAACAGTCCTAAACACCAAGTAAGACTGTGGATTGCCTTGCATCAAAACAGCTGTTTATTGTTGTTTATTTCACTATGCTGCTGAATCATTATTGAGCCAACAAGGGAAAAATATGCACTCTGAGCACTCTGAGGGTATTTTGGGAATACTATGTCCTCTCTATACCATTGATTCTACAAAAAATAAATAAATAAAAAAAAAACATCAGTCTTCCTCTCAGGATATTGTTTAATGCCTGTTAGGTTGGATAATAGTCAAGATTGATGAATATCACATTATAGTAAATAATAGTTAGTAAATTAGTTAGTAAATATGTGCTTTTTCAGAGGTTACCAGATATCTGCAAGTCAAGAACGTGTAGCAACAAACAAGCAACAAACACAAAAAGTATAATTTCTTAAAATATATTTCTGCCAACTTAGATTATGCAGAGTTTGCTTTCCAGAGGCACTAATATTCAGCGATGCTTGGGTGGGAAAAAAGAAAAGAAAAGAAAAAACTCTGGTAATTAATGCTAATTTAGCATTTAATGATAAAGGGCAAGCTGGATGCCCTGCCCACTCTCTGTGACTAAGTTATGCGCCAACATTATTAACACAAGAACCTCAGTCATGGACACGGTCACTGACACAAGAAKTGAAATAAAACCTTATGTCTGCACATAGATAAAGGAAAGTCAAATGTCTTTGTGTGGGAGAAAGAAAAGGCCGTTCCATGGCCCAGTAAACATAAGATAAAGGGCGTTTGTTGTATTTATKAAAAGTCAAGCACAATTTAGATTATGTCTGTGTGGGAAAAATTATGTTTTCAGAGAAAATAAGTAAACATTAAAGTTTAAGTTCAGTTTATCTCAAAACTGAAGGTTATTATTACACAAATTGATGCAAAGTTTTTGACAAGCTGAAGTGTCATTCCACCCACTTCTAACCAATAATTTCAGACTTGCATACATTTATATCGGTCCAACTTTGCTCTAGCTCACTTTACTCCTCTTCATTTTACCAGGAGGTCTGACAGCCWAAGAGGGACTTGCCAAAATCAGATTATTAGCATCCTGCTTTAAATACTGGCTAATCTATTAAGACTTTGATAAACTGCCAGTATGCAGAGCTAACTGGAATATGTTTTTTTTTTCCAATTTCCTCTGCTTCTTTTAAAACATATCAGATTTTTCTGTTTTTTTAGCCCAGCTCTGAGTCTTTTGCCATATATATATATATATATATATATATATATATATATATATATATTAAGAGCTAACAAAAGAAGACTGCTTTAGGACATACTTTTCACATGTAATCCCTTATGTGGAGAACATGACCATGTTGAAAATGTTTCAAAACCACAAGGGATCTTTCTGCAGAACATATGTTTTATGAGTTCATTTCACATATTTTTACATATGACGTTCAAGTGTACTTTTTGTGTAAGAGATGTTCTGAACACTAACAGAATACAAGCTCCTTCTGACAAAGAATCTCCACATTATTTCCACCTGCATCCTGAAAAACTAATAGCTGAACTCCTGATGGGACACGTTTTTGCRAAACATCTTTCTGGCATTCACCACAGTTTAAGTACAATTTGCAATACCTGTCCCCTTAAGCCAGGAAGAGTAGTCTGATTTATAGACTGTATTTCTTACCTCACATACAATTGTCTTTGTGTAATCGTGAGTGCGTGTGAATTTTCTGAAGTGGCTTGTAGTGTCAAAGTGATTTGAGAGGTTAATAAGACTAGAAAATAGCTACTACAGCCATGATTCTCATACTGTGGTACACGTGCCACTTGTGGTACTTTGGATCCCTCTTGTGACATTTAGATACAATTTTAGTATCAACAAATTACAAGGTAAGTGACAAGCTTATTAAACAAAAGCTATTCTGTGATGTAAAGTTAGAGACAGCCAACAAAGATGAGTGATTTAAGCAAACTACAATTTTGGCTCCATGGAAACAAACAAGTGTCATGGTGATACTTAAAACCCTGTAAAACATTAGACAATAGGTAACCAATGTGCTCGTGGATACTCATGCACAAAGTATGTTMGTTCCCATAGTAACATCCATGCATCCACCCACCCATCTATCTCTTGACTTCTGTCAAGAGATGGATGGGTGGGTGGATGCATGCAAGAGACTTCTGTCAGCTTGATTCATGCTGGACTTTTCTATTGGTCTCATGGTCTCATTGGTGCCTCTAGTGTTTGGAAATAGAACTGCACCCAGCATCATCGCTCTTGGGCAAAGGACAGATGAGTTACAGGACAGGGGCAGTTCAGGGGGCCAATCAAATTTCAACAGGGGCCAATGCCCCTGTGGCCCCACCCCTAGAACCACCCCTGAGCTTTACTATTCTGTCATGGGGAYCAGGTGCCTAGCAGTTCCTCTCTCAGAGTGGGGGGTACACCCTAGACAGGCCACAAGTTAATCACAGGGCCCCAAAAGCAAAAACACAAACACTCACACTCGGGGACAATTTAGTTACAAATTGCCCTAATGTGTATGTTTTTGGTCTGGGAGGAAACCAGAATACCCAGCTGTGCCACTCCGCTCAGAGAGGCAAAAATGCTTTGTCTTAATYTGAAGACACAGGGTCTTGGGAGGTTAATAAATATAATAAAACARTGAAAAAGTTGCAACAGAATTTGATTAAAAATATCTACAATTTACTTTTCAAATGTATAGCAGAAGAATAGCTACAAGTATATTATTTTAGGCATGTACTGGTGATTTTTTTATTGCCCTGGAAAGTATAGTAACAGTTGTGGTGATAAAAGTCTGAGAACCACTGAGTTATACGAGTTCACAGTTTTTTAAAACATCAGCAATAAAGTAACTAAACACAATATTTTTTTCAGAAGGTGGTGAGCTGTCATTCGGAGCYTCTGATACAAGTCCTACTTTTATGATGTGCTTTGAAGTGGTCCCCCTCTGTGAGTATCCAGCTGCTCACAACAAYGCAAACAAGTAAATAAGTATGATAAAAACAACGTTAGAAACAAGCTGATCCACCCTTCTCCGCGTGACGCCGCAAGATAAGTGAGAAATGCTTCCAATYGACAGTGTGATGAGCGTGCCTTAATGTTGATAATAAACACAAAATCACAGCCAAGACAAGGCAACAGCTTTCTATGTATACATTGCAATCTGGACTCACTGAAAGACACGGTGTCCACATCCTAACTGGGCCTTTTTCTACGTTAGAGAGAYCATTTGTTAAACCTAATGGTCTGAAATAACTGTAGGACAGAGTTCATTGACACTTAAAATGAGTACAAATAGATTTATATGTTCCCTTCCTCTTGTCTCATTGATTCACTCCTTTAGTTATGTGTTTATGCTTGACAATGCTTGTATGTTCTTTTAGGTTGTGATTGTTGCCCGACACAGATGTATCTTTCAAAGAGTCTGAGTTAGGTTATATTGGCTTGAATGCTCAATGATTCGTGAGGAAGAGTGATTTGTGAATGTCTGACTTCTGATAAAACWGGGTTGTCTGACATTTTGTTGTCATATATCTGCTTCACCGTGAGTCTTTGACCACAGAAGTACTTCTGTTTAAAAAACCAATGTGAACAGTCTAACGTTCACTGTTGTTTCACCTTGAAGCTGTGACTCAGAGATACTGCAACTGTAGGCATTTTCCTTGCTTCAAATCCTTTGCACCAGACGTCATAGAAATGCCTTTACATAACATGCTTTACTTTGTTTTAGCCTCTTAGAAAAATGTTGTGTTTAAAGATGTACTTACACAGCTGTTATTCTAATCTTTCGCAAACAATATACCCAGTAATGATCTAGACAAAATAGTTGTTCCAGCAATATTGCGAAAATGAAAGTCTGTTGGATATCTGTCAACCGTCACATTTTTGTTATGTTTTCTACAGCAGTAATACAGAGAGAAAAAAATGGATCACTGAGAAAGCAGAAAGCATGTTTACCAGACCAGGGATGTCAGGTTTTATGTCTCATTACAAAGAAATATGGGCAAAATGGTTTGTATAAAAGTGTGTGTGTGTGTGTGTGTGTGTGTGTGTGTGTGTGTGTGTGTGTGTGTGTATGTGTGTGTGTGTGTGTGTGTGTGTTTAAAAGAGACTGGTGTGAGATAATGAGAAGGG